TTGAACAATTGTACAATATTACCAGGTTGACAACGAATGACGCGTATGTAAATTATATATCACGTTTCCGTAACGCCACAAAATCAAACTCTCCTTATTTTTTGACTTCTTAGCCCCAAATTTCGCTTATTTCGTTTCGTGGAAACAGTTATTAAAGTAAAGAGTCAAGCATTTCGATCGCCAAACGAAATAAGATGTGCGAAACATCATATTCGATCAAAACCACTTTGACGATACCGGTTATTGATAAACAATACCCATTTACGCAATACCTATCTGCGTCAACGTTGACGCACACTACCTAAAATTAGCACAGAGTTGATTGGCTCCCACGGATTGTTCGAAAGTTCTGGTGACGTGCAAAATAGCTCCGAGAACAATGAATGTTAGATTTAAGGAGTCGCCCACTCGGTTCGCACACAGAATCGTCAAAGCTCTACGAAGCGAAGGAGTAAATCCCGACGGGAAAACAACGACCACCGAACTCTAAGCCGAGTCGCAGTTATTGCTGGCCAATAACTCGACCAAGACCTATACTGTTGATCAGTTAACGACACAAACAACAACCTCAAGAAAAATTATTTCACCGTTCGTTCCTAAAGTTTATAATTTAAGATGATGATTACCATGACAGAAGCATTGGATAGCCTTGCCCAAGTTGCTACGGACCAGCTTTTTGGTTTCGACACTGCTAGTCTTCTGACACCCCAGTTAGCTCGCCAAGTCCCTCAGTTGAGCGCCGAGGAGTTTTCGTTTGTTCAGGACGAACCGACGAACATTTTTGGTGAGCCGGTTGATTTCCACGACACTACTGTTCCAGGTACTTAGTAGCTAACGAACGTCGTCGGATAGCGTTCGATCGATGCAGTTTGTTTTCATCGGAAACGTATCCACCTACGCTATCGCTGGGTTCAAAACAAACTGTGTTAGATCGTGGGCAAAACGTGAAAAAGATTTATACATCATTCGATCAGGTTAATTTTATACGAATCAATTTACACAATCTCGATAACGCATTATTTGACTTCGAAAATTTTTCGTTTCAATTTTTGTTTATTACCCTTTCGGCATCTAGCTTTGACGTAAGTTTTTTAACTCGAAAGTTAATCATAATGCTCTCAAAGTCAGTCAATTCTTAATTTTAACGTTTTCTTTGCCGTGCTTTCCTTTTCGCTACAACGAATTGTTGATCCCGTTCAATATATTAATTTTTTTTCGTTTTGATTGCATAATTCACTAACACTGATTTCTTCCTTCTTGTTTTCTCAGGAGATCTTGACCTGGACTACACTGTACCTGACGTGAAGCAGGAAGGAGCTAACAACTCCACGAAAGCCTGCCAGCAGCGTTTGGCCCACTTTAAAGTCCCAAGCCTACATGATGTGATTTCGGGACCCACAGGATCAACTCCTCCACCGAGCGCGCAAGGGTCTCCTTACAGTTCACCTGCACACAATCTTTGGATTCCTGATCGTACAGTCCTGACTCCCTTAATAAGCCAGGCTGGTACAACTCCTTGGAGCTCATTCTTCCAAGACGTTAAACTTCCCATGTCGCACGAATCCAGTTCTGGGCCAAACAAAGTACATACTCCCACTCCACATGATCTTCAACAAGAACAGGTCCCAGTGACAACGAGTAACAACCTCACTGGGCTTCCTAAACTACCAGCACAGGGTAACCTGTATCAGCGACCCATGCAGCAGCAAGTAAGCTCTTCATCACCAATGTTTATGCAAGCTACAGCCACACTGAACATGAAATGGCCTATTCTTGGTGCACCTTCTCCTTTTCCCAATGCTTTAGCCACTGACCACACTGCAGCAATGATGGACAAGCTACTTCTTCATACCACAACTCCATCTGACTTCTTGACCACACCCTGCAAGCCCGTTCAGAGGCCCGGTCGCCCTTCAAAAGCTGGTGCTAGTTTACTAAAGGCAAAGCGCAACAACCCAACAGATGGACGGTCACGAACGCCACCCAGTGAGCGTCCTTATGCATGTCCTGTTGAAACTTGTCCAAGGAGGTTCTCAAGGTCAGATGAACTGACACGCCACATGCGAACCCACACTGGGCAAAAGCCATTCCAGTGTCGTATCTGCATGAGGAATTTTTCCCGCTCAGACCACTTAACAACTCATATTCGCACACACACTGGTGAAAAGCCATTTGCCTGTGACACTTGTGGAAGACGGTTTGCAAGGTCTGATGAACGACGGCGTCACATGAAGATCCATTTACGGGAACAAGCCAAAAAGGAGGAGGAGGCTAGAAAAGCCATGGCTTCTCAGTCCAATGGAACTGTTTCACCAATTCACAGTCGGTCTCCTCAATCAACACCGTCACCAATTCAGGTCCCTGTGACCTCAGTGAACTCTTTTTAAAGTGTTTTCTACAAACAGTGCAGGCACTGTTAAGTTTGACAGACACTATTATGTTGAACTCTTGCTTATATTTAAGGTGAAGTATAGAACAGGGCTGGTCCCATGTAAATATTTTCACAACCAAATTTTTTTCCAGGTACTACAAGTACTCTTTGCCTTACACGGACATATTTTTAATATATAGAAGTATTATTGTTGGAATACAGCTGGTCTCTGTATTTGTTAATTCCAACATATTTTTACCAAAAAACAGCTTTCTGTTTGGACAAAATGAATAATGACATTCAATGTTTTGAAAGGCAGTATATGTTAAAACATGTCGCATGTAAATCTAGTTGTATTTAAGTTTAGAATAATAAGAATTAGGCTGGTCCTAATGTACATATTTTTATGTGCAGACGTTTCAAGGCACTTAGAGTGCTATATTGGTACTCAAAGGGACCTATTTTTCATACATTGATAAAAATACAGTGGATCTCTGTATTCAATTAGTCATATTTTGTGTAAAGGCATGTTTCATAAAATTATTCTCCTTGATACAAAGGGTATAAATATTTACTATGATAGATATTTTTTTTCATAAGTAGAAATCAGTTTACAAAAATTCATAGCTTTTTTTATTGGCATGTATTCATATTTGGGTAAAACCCATAACATAGAAACATTTATAGAGTTTACACCTGTTTATCAAGGAGAATGATTTTTTTCTCAACTGTCAAAGAATATTATAAACAAAGTTAAAGTCAAGCTGGTCATTGACAATATAAACTCAGTGCTGGTCACTAAAGATTATAAAAAATAAACTTGAAGAATTTGAAACACAATTACTGTTGTCTGTCCTCATTATAACATAGAAACTGAACAACATTAAGTGACTCACTTTATCCAGACAAAGGCCAAGAAAGAAATATGATTCTCGTTGCGTAGTCTTGTTGCCACCCTAGTGCAAGAGGTCTTTTCCTTCTTTCTGGATTCCTTGAATGATAATGCTTTCCTATGCATCAAGTGGAGGATGAAAATCAATAGAAACTATGAGAAACAATGCAAGATATTACCACTGTACACTAGGGTGTTTTTCCTCCACATTGTTTTCTTTTGCTCATAACTGCTGGCTTTTTTATAACATGGTCTCATTGTTTAAGTTCTATACCTGTTGCCCATCTTAACACTCACAAATGCATTATGCATCCAGATGACTTCCTTTCCTAGTGCGTTGTTCAAGATGCATTACGAAGGATAGTTCATCCGGACGCATAATACATCATGTGCCTGTCATGAGACTCAAGACCAGAAAAAGTACAACTTGTTTGCTAAAGTTCTTCCAGCCAGAGGGTCTTGAGCATAATAATGGACAACGATATGAAATTGTTTGGGGTGGCTGATACTTGATAAGTAGATCTTCCCTTTTCATCCTAAATGTGGCTGTTAACTTCCCACTCCTGTGTACACTAAAAGAGAACAATTTCGAAACCCTGAGTACTGACCTAAGTTGCACTCAATTTAGCCTTGTAGTTCTTTGAACAGCCGGGCCTTGTGATTTGTTTCTCTCCTATGAGTTAAAAGACACATATGAAAGAAGAATAGCACTAGGGGGGGGGGTACTCCCTTATATAAGCCATATAGGTATGTGCCATCCCAAAGGGTATGATTTTTGCACCATTTTGGTCTGAAAAGAGGTGGAGACTTTGCCCATTTTGGCCTGGAATAGTTTATGGTGTCCAAGGTTGCTATGGGAGGGTATGAATGTAATTGTCGTTTCAGTTCCATTTGAATAAGAAAAAAACAGTAAAATGCAAATCGAACTTGGTTTTGAAGAAGTCCTTTTGTTGGCATTCTAATCTAAGTAATGATGTCATAAGTTCTTAGAGGCTAGGTCTGAAAATGGTTGAGAAAAATGACATTTTTTGGTCTGAAATAGGATCAGGATTTGAAAAACCGGGTGGCACCGCACTAAGAATTCCCCCGGAATAACCCCCCGGATCACCACTTGATTGAACAAATTAAGAATATATCAAATAAACAAAACTTGTAGTTGTAGTTTCATATTTAAAAGAGGCTAGAGGTAATTGTATACATTACAAAAAGATATCAAATAAATTTTCATCATTGAGCGCGGTGTTGTAGAGGTACGGCACCGGAGGGTAATGAAAGACCACCTCATTCTAGCCTGCGTAGCAAGCGTTTCCAATCGAGTTACTGCGCGAAAGTCTTTTTTTTTGCTCTCGTACCAACTTTCTCGACGAACTCGCGAGGAAACGCTTGCTACGCAGGCTACCTCATTCACAAAAATGGCACCTTTCTTTTAAGCTCATGTTTTGTTCTTGAAAAGAAGTTTAAGGTAGAAAAACGAGAATAGGTTAAAGAGCCAACCTTTTCAATTTGCAGTTCCATGTTGTGCAATTATGCGGGTTATAGCGAAAATACTTCAAACATTGAATATGAACAAGAACTTTGAAAACAAAGATGGAGGGCCAAGATTTGGCCGAGGCAGCACTGCGACTCGTTTTCGAAACAGCCAATCAGAGTCAAGAATGAGCTGCAAATTTGCCGCCAAACTGACGCGCCAACACCTGATTCGAGACATGTATGTCATTGTGATGTCTGGAGGTGGCCATGTTGGCAAGATTGTTTGTACTGCTTTTGAGTTACTTTTTTCTACTCTTTCTTGTCGCTCGAATATTTGAGATTTCATCCACGTGGCTCAAGGCAGGATGTTTGGCCAGCCAGCTTTTGAATCCGTTTGCGCTGAGCGTGAGAAAATTAAAGTCGATCTTGGAGCAGCGGGGCGTGAGTTACTCCGGGTTGGTGGAGAAGAAGGAACTTGTCGAGCTTGTAGAAGCGTGTGGAGCAGTAACCGAAGCTGAAAGCTGCTCTGTCGTCGCTGAAAGATCTGCAGATGACCAGGAAAGTGATGATTTAAAATTCACCGGTGCATCTCACTTTTTTGAAGAAGTAGAAGACACCAAAGCAGGGACATGGTTGGTTGATGTCATTCCCAAGGGCCAGTCTTCGCTGCTTCGGAGCAAGCAATGGTTTTTGCTCAAAAGAAAGATTGCTCGATTTGGCATTCGAATGGGAACGTTCTTATGTGAAAATGATCCAAGACTGTGTGTAAAGTACGGCTGGGATAAGCCATCCTTAGTTATTTCAATGCCTCAAAGCAACCAGCCCAAAGGTAACGTCATTTTAAAAACATATGACTCCAAACCTTCGGTGGATCATATTTTTCAGTGGATCAACAGAGAGCTTTCATCCAAGGTAGTTATTCTGAATAGTGTGGAGGAATTTGTGGACACATTTGAAGCGAACATGAAACAAGAACCTGCCTATGTTGTGTTGTTTTCCACGTTATCTGAACCTCCTATGTATCTTGGTTCGCTGTCCGTTCAATTTACTGGAAGGGTTCGTTTTGGACACGTTCGAATTTCCGATTGGAAAGCACAAAAAGACATCTTAAAAAACTACAATGTCGATAATTTTCCAAGCCTTATGGTATTCACGCCAGAGGTTAATTTGACATACGGACATAGAAAAGGAGAATGGATAGAATATCGTCGTCTACAACTATTTTTGAAAACGATTCACCCAGAGGTCAATGATGTGTTCGTGACAGTGCTTACTATTGTAAACGTGAGCTGCTTTATTGAATTGTTCCTAATGAACGGTGGTATACTGAAAAGAATCATACACTTTATGTGGTTACTGACGTTCTATAATACAAGTCTTATAATGCTTTGTTTGCCAGTGGTTACCCTGTTCCAATTTCCTTGGCTTAGTCCAGTCCTTGAATTCGTCTTAAAGTATTGCAGATACGTAATGACATCAGATGCTGCTGCAGTAATGAGACTGTACACAATGTTTGGTTTGCAGCACAAAAAACTCATATTTGGAGGTTACATTGTGTATTGCTCGATAATACGCTGGATTCGGATCAAGTTCAAGCACCACTTTGGCCTTGAGGATGAAAATAACAATACCATGTCCATAAGAGAATGGTTTGCACAAGACCTACATTACTTGACGAATGTTGTCCAGAGTTTCCCGTCCTTAAGACAACCTCAAGTTGAGTACAGCACCTCTGGTCTTGAAGATGGTTTTGAACTACTAATACGACGGCTTGCAGTGCCTGAACTATGGCTACGTCCAATAATCCCCACTGATTTCATTAATAACTTACCAGTGTGGAAATTCTGTTGTTCCCAGAGTTGTGATAGCAAGCGAGGGCATTGTACAAAGCAATGCAGAAAGCACAGATGTTGTCAAAAATCATCTCAACCGGTTGGGATGTTTGTAGATCATGATTGTGCCATATGTCTGGAGGATTTTAGGAGTGGTTGTCTGTTGCTTGGTTTACCCTGTGGTCATTGTTACCATCAGCAGTGTATTGAAGCATGGCTGTGTGGAGGAAATAGTGCTGGTCGGTTCTGCTGTCCTGTTTGCCGTTGGCCGGCTTACAAGCAAAAGCCATTTGCTCTGGAAGGAAATCTTGAGGGTGGTCAAATGCAAGTCAGTTGAATCCCTTTTCATTAAACAAATGAATTACCGTATTTATTTGGCTATAAGCTGAGACTCTTAAACTTTCAAGTCGTAGAATCAGCATAACCAAGAATGAAAGGTAAATCCAAAGCACCCAGCTATAAGGCGAGACCCATTTGTTACAAGACTCTTAGCTACTATAAAACCTAACAATGGTCGATTCCAGAAAATATCCATACCATACCACGGACGGCTTTTAGGATTTTCGAAGGGGAGGGGGGGTTCACGATTATGGAATTCTGAGGGCATGAGGGGTATTTACGATTGGAAATCCGAAGGCATGGGGGAATTCCACAGGTGGGATTTCTGGAGTAGAAAGTGTAGAGTGAGTTCCTTGAAAACGCTATTGTTGTGGACTTTTGTAGTTCGTAAATAAACCACAAACGTATGACTGCGGAAGCAGAAGACGCTCATAACTTGTAGAAGTGAACAGTAAAACGTGGGTTTCACATTAACCTTGATGAATAATTGCTTGTCACATGAAAAAAAAACTGAATATGTATCTTACTGCTTGCAAGTTTCTTGTTACTCCCGTCAGATGAACAGTAAAAAAACTCGCACCAGTCCCTGGCTTCCAAGGAATGCCTGTCAGATTAGAACACTTTTCGTGCACACTACATGAAGTATAAAAGGACGCAACACGACTCGACGGTATATTTGACGGCCAAAAGATTTTAACAGTCTGAATTTGAGCTATTTTGCTTTGTAAACGTCTAAACAGCACAAGAAAACAAAGAGGAGTAAAATTACCGTTAGTGGTGTTTATTTTTATAGCCAAATTCGGACTTAAAAAGAAGTTTGCACAGCCTGGCTACTAGCGGTAGGTTTTTCTTGTCACTGAAGAGTAAAGCTTGTCACCTGGTGCCGCTAGATCACAGCCTTGAGGAGGCATAAATTCATGTTCGTTTGTCCATATAGGCATTGCTAAGTCGAAAATGTACTTCCAAAAAAACGGAAATTCTGAAAGGTAGGGGAGGTTCATGATTATGGAATTCTGAGGGCATGGGGGGGTAACACATTTTGGAATTTCTGAAGGCAAGGGGGGGTTGAAACATGGAAGCCGTCCGTGGTTGGGTATGGATATTTTCTGGAATTGCCCAATTGGGAAAAAAAATGTGTTGACCTTCTCTAGGAAAACGTACAATAGGCCATTTCCGAGTTCCCCTGGGCCTCTGTATGGAAACGAGGTTAAGTGCTCAGCCTTTCATATGGAAATGATTTTCATTCTCATGCAAATAAAACTCATTTTCACAAGAACGGTTGTGCATGTTGCCTCATTTTGAAAGTGAGGGTTTTTGGAACTCAAAAGTGGCCTATTGTTGTTTGGGTTTTTCACTGCTATCAATCTTCCCTTGTGTCTTTATCGCATTATGCTTGAAATGATCATATAAATCGTCTTTCAACTAAAACAAACCACATCAGTTTGCGTTGCATTTGTCTATGCTTAGTAACCAGGCAAATGTTTTCAAGCACAAGTTTGACCAAACGTGGCAGATTGCTGACAAATTCCTTGACATGTTTCATTTGTTTTACACCTTCCCTCGTTGTAAAAGGCTTACCAATGTGAGATTTTAGTCGTGAGACCTGTGTTTGTCAGATATTTTGACTTATTTGGGACTGAATTTCCGTGCTTAGCTAATTTAACATTCAGATTCGTAGTTAGGCAATCAATTCAATCTTTTTCCAGTGCTATTTGCTTGGCTTATAAGTGAATACATCCCTATTTAGTAGAGTTTTAATGCACTGAAAAAGATGTTTTGTCAAAAACTCTTGGCTATAAGCCGAGACCCCCCCTCGGCCTCAAGTTGCACTGAACTTTAGCTTTAATTTGTGTCCCGCCCCCAGATTTGTGAATGAAAATTACTCGGCTTATAGTCGAATAAATATGGTAACCTAACTTTTAAAAGATTTGTAAGAATTGACAGACTGGACAGTGTAGCACAGGTCAAGTGGATAGGCTCTTTGTTAAAGTTAAGGTTAGTTGGTGCTGTAAGTGTGTCTGTGTCTGGTAAATGCTTTTAATGCTGCATGTATTATTGTGGACTTTAAGCATTATGATAGCAACATCAAGAAAAATGTTGCTTGACCAAGTAATTTCTTTTGGTTTTGTTGACTATGAAATTGTACTAATTTGTTCAGTTTTGTGGAACTGACTTTGGAGGGAAGAATGGAATGAACAATGTATAATTTTTATATGATTACCATTACACTTTCAGGGGTTTCAATAAGTTTTTGCATAAGTGGGTACTTAAGAGTAACAGGCGGGTATATTTGCCGAAGGCCCCAAGGGCCTTCGACCCTAGGGGGGTCCGGGGGCATGCTCCCCCGGAAAATTTTGAAGTTCTAGACTCTCGCAGATGCATTTTCAGGTCTTTTTTTGTTGCTTTGTTTTTACATTTTTTTGCTCCTAAGTCAACTAATTTAAACAAATTTGAAGAGAATTATGTTACAATGAAGTAGTCATAGTCAAAACCTGTTTTGCCAAATTTTTGGGCAAGAATTCGAAGCTGAGATGAAATTATCTGGTCTTAGTTGACGTTCATGTGAAGGCTCCAAGCGGGTAATCAGCCCGTTGCAAGCGGGTAGATCTACCCGCTACCCGGCTACTATTGAAACCCCTGCACTTTTAAATTACACAAACAACATTGAGTGATATTTGAACTTGGACAGAGGAACAGAGAACCTTTTAACCTCTACCCTCCCTGATGTGAAACAACTTTGTAAAAACCCATATCAATCTCCAGTAAAAATAGCCTAGTCTGCTGGTGCTGTGATAGGTTTTCTTAAAAAGTACTGGTAGGACTCAGAACTACTAGGCACACTTGGAGGAGTTGAAAGTTACATGTAAGTTGTTTTTTAGTTTCAGTGGACAAGGGAATGGGTAAATAAAGTAAACTTGTCAAGTTTTCAGGTCAAAGACTTTTTCAAATTTGTGCTTGTATGATAAGCACACAAAAAGCAAAACATTGTGACATCATAACCATGGTTACATACTCTCATGCAAACATGCCTCTCAGCCAATCAGAGCCCTAACTAAATTTTGCACAAAAAAGCAAAACCCTGAAGGATTCTGGTTGTAATAGTAAAATGATGTCATGGTGCAAATGACCTATCATGTGAGCTACCAGCCTTAACAAATGACCATTTAGTAGAAAATAAACGGAAGTGTGAAAAAAGTCTAAAATAGCAATAAATGATGGTACATTGTATTACTGATGTAAGGGAATACCATTAAGTTTTCAACTGCTTACGAGTTGCTCTCTATAGTTGGTCTCATCAATTTATTTCTTGTATGGCCTGTTACACCTTTTTCTCTCTTTTATCTATGATAAAAGTTAGACAAATTTGGCTTGTTTTAAACGCTTTGTATTATTCTTTTCCATAGCGGACAGATCAACTGAATTCAAGTATTTTTACCTTCGCTCACCTTCAAAGACAAAATTATAACAGCATAGCATATTTTGTTGATTTTATGTATTTTCCGGAATAGTATTTGCAACTACCTCAAAATGTTACTGTTACTGAATCCTTAAAGGGAACCTCCACTCTTACTACAGAATAAGTTTAAATCGAATAAAATTATGTTGACAAACAAATTTGTTCGAAATTTGTCTTAAAAAAAGTGTTTATATCAGGAAAAGTGAATTTTAAAATCGCTTATTTTCACTTTCAAATTTCGCGGGCGCCGCCATCTTGACTAATTGTGACGTGTAATGGTTGCTCTGTTGTTCTGAAACAAAGAGCTTTTGTTTAATAACAATAGGGCAACCATTACACGTCACAATTATTCAAGATGGCGACGCCCGCAAAATTTGAAAACAAAAATAGGCGAATCTAAAAGTTATTTCTTTCGGATACAAACGCTTTCTTTAAAAATATTTTAGATTGACTTGACTGTAACATTTATTTCCTGTGATTTAAAGTTATCTTTTTGTTGAAGTGGAGGTTCCCTTTAAAACAAGATTGGTTTTCCTGTGTCCATTTGAAATTAAGAAGGTAAAAACTGAAAAGACACTAACTTTGTTGACTTTGTTATGTACTCTTTCTTGCGACCAAAAAATTGTAGGGCGAGACATGACGTGGATGGGGTATGTTGTCTGATACCTGCCTTCCTATTTGCCACCACGTGACCCAAAATAACCAGCAAAAATTATGCAAAAATTTATTGGTGGGTTATAATGGGGTGTAATCCTTTTAATTTAAGTTTATAACGTGTAAGCACTTTTCACAAGTTCCATCAAATCAGTGCCAATGAGATTCTTCAGGCCATTCACCTAAGAGCGACTAAGGGATGCACCATTAGAAATGTGAAGGGGGGGGTAGGACTTTCTGGAAAGGCATGTTATTTTTTTCACAACCAGCAGGAGTGCAGGATTTTTTTTTCAACCTTCAAACCCTTGCACGATTTTTTTTTTCCAAAATGACTATGCCCTCTTTTGGTCTTGTTTTACTAGACTGTTTCAACCCACAAGAAATGTTTTTTGTTGTAGTGTTCCAACAGAACACGTTTGTTTTAAATATATTTTTTTTCATACTAATTGAGATTTTCTATTGAAATTTGGCGTGTGAAAACCCTGTTCAGGGTTCGCAGCCAATCAGAATGGCGAAACGACTTTCACACACGTGAAAAAAAAAAGCGTTTAGATCCAGTCACAGATGTTTAGTACATAATGTAATAGGACACCTAAACACGTGCAGTGTTAGACATGGACTTTTTTCGCATTGTATGTCAGATAAATCTCTCTCGCTTTCTGGATCTCACCGCAAAAAGCCTTGCTCGTTCAATTTCTGATGCGAACCAACTCGTGCGTAAATACCGTGCGCCCGCGCTGCCCATGAAGTAATCTATACGTTCAAACGTCCGAACTGAGTTCAGTGGCAGTTGAAACAGCTACACAAGCAGATCAAACGGTGTTTTACCCAAAGTAAAGTATTGCGAAGAAAGAGGAAGAAGAATGCTCTAAAGGAAAATAAAGAAAAACAAAAGAAGAAATTTCAAGCAGGCGAGGACTGGAACACAGAGAAAGAACCTGAGGGAAGACAAGAAACAGAGAAACAGAAAGAAGGAAAGCAAGCATCTCAGTCCTTATCATGCAAGGACTGGAACACAGAGAAAGAACCTGAGGGAAGACAAGAGACAGAAAAACAGAAAGAAAAGGAAGAAGAAGAAGAAGAAGAAGAAGAAGAAGAAAAAGAAGAAGTAAAACTGCAGCCAGCATGTCAGTCTTCATCAGGCGAGGACTGGGATACAGAGGAAGAACTTGAAGAACATTTCCTCTAAATCCTACCATATGTCTGTGGCCCATATGTTTAGGTTCAAGTTTTTATTAGAATGCACCATTTCTATTTATGGTTTTGCAAAGCATTCAAAATATTTTGTGTTAGTTTGGGTAAATAATATTCTTAATACTTTTAAATGCAGCGGGATCTGCAGTGTGATTGGTGTTTTTGGGACATCTACTTTTGTTTATAGCTGTAAACTTTATGGATTCAAGTAGCAACGCATATTGTACAACACCAACTCCATAAACTTGCGTGCAAGTGGAACTATTGACGTTGTTAACACAATCTCACTTTAATCCCATTAAAACAAAAGTATTTCAATAAAAAAGTTTATTTAATTTATAAAGTTAAACAATTATCACCACAGTCTCTTAATTTAATACTATGGCAGCTATAGAGATCAAGGGCATCAGAGTTGGTTCAAATTGAAATCTCTATTTAGCCAGTAGAAATTGTTTTTTCTGCCTGAAATGTAGTTTGACATGAATTTAGGAAGTTGGGGGAAGGGGATTTCCTGTTACAGATCACAGATTTATTTTTCAGACTGTGTAATATATTGTCGCAGTCACATTGGTTATCCAAGCAGGATATTTTTTTCTGGTTTCGTTGCAATGCAGGATTTTTTTTTCTTAAAATTTTGTTTTGCAGGATTTTTTTTTTTGTTTTTGGACTCCCCCCCCCTTCACATTTCTAATGGTGCATCCCTAAGAGCCAATTACTTACACTGTTTTAATACATTTATTGAATATTCTTCTTGGTTACTCATAATACTAGTTCCAGAGGGATCAATTTGCTTTCAGTTTCCTAGTAAACTTAATGTTGAAATAAAACTGTTCCTCATTTTCAATCTTGCCTCCTTGGTTCTATTCTGTAAAATAATATAAACAAGGGAAAGTTGCTGTAAAAAATATAGTAACAATGGAAAAAAAGGATTGTGATAACTATGGAGGTTACATTTCTTGCTAAATTTTTAAGGTGCAAATTCTGCAAAAATTCAAAGAAATTGGGGAAAAACTGAGAAATATAGTTTTGCCACCTAATTTTTTATGCCTTGGGTGCTATTTGACAAAAAAGGCCTGTAAACCAAGAAAAAAAAGTCACTGTATTTCCTCGAATAATAGCCAGGGATGCAAAAAGAGGGGCCGATTATTCGAGGGAGGCGATTATTTCAAATATTGCTCACTGCAAGTCGTGCCCTAACTTTTGTTTTATTTTCCCATATTTAAGGTCTCGGTAAATGAAAATTTTAGTACATTGCTCGATTTTGTTTTTTTTTTATTTTTGGCATGAGTGGGTCCTAAATTTTATTTTGGCAGAAAAAGAAAATCAGAAAGTGCTTTTTAACCCTTCTAAAATGAGCTTTTTCTGACCTAACCAGCCAAGCGTGGACCTCGCGCTAAATCTTTAGAGCTGATTTTCTCTCACTCTATTTCAGACGCAAAAATCAAAATTCTCCGACCTCCAGTCGGGACAGGTTTAAGCTATCGCTTTGAAACTTTCAGATATGATGGATAATGATATAGACTCAAAAAGGGTGTGAGGAATTTTCCGATTTCCCTTTGTAACTCATTTTATGTCAGTTTCTTTGCGTAAATCGTGCGCGAGATTCGACTTTTTAGTTTGAAATGTAATAATTCCCCTAATACGAGACATATGCAAATTTCCTCACACCCTTTTTTAGGTCTTTTATCTGTCAATCAGATGCAATAAAAGGAAAGTGAATATTTAACAACGCGAAAGGGCTGGAGCTTCAGCAGTAAACTCGATACCTCTGAGTTCGAGAGCAAAAAACTTAAGCGCCTTTTGAAATTCGATGAAATAAAATATTTTATAAGGTAATTTAGTCTTTTAGCTTTAATTTGATATATAACTTGCCTTTGTAGCGAAAATACTCGCGCGACTAGAATTTTTCTCTGTGGGCACCTCGTTTTCCTTTACCGAGACCTTAAATAAAAAAAATAATCACATCAAATAAACTGAACTTGGGCTTTTTAAGTGTTCCAAATTTAGTTCCTTGATTAATTTTCAGAGCTTGAATCATCACTGATCAGTTTTGCTGAATCTTGTTGCACTTCAACTTGACTGGATGGGATAAAAGGAAGAGAAGATGGCCAGAAGGGTGGTGAGGGATGATTATTTTAACCATTTCCGTCAAAGGGGGGGCGATTATTCGAGGGAGGTGATTAATCGAGGGACGGCTATTACTCAAGGAAATATGGTATTGAAGCTTCCTGACACCAGGAACATACACAAAATACTAAAAATTCCTGAAAAAAGGAGGCAAAGACTGAAACTACAACAGCACGGTTTACATACACTTGAGGGAAGGCCCAAACTATACAAGTGCTTTCAGGTATGGCCTAGCCACAAGCCTAGGTGGGGGAGGGGGGTACTCAACAAAATTAATGTTCATATGGGGAGGCTCCGTCCTGAGGTCTGAACTCCTTACCCTTTTATATACCACTTTTCACGAAAAAGGTACCCCTTTCGTATACCCTCTATTACCGAATGTTACCCCTTTCACATGCCTTGTTTAGAATTTTGCACCCCTTTTAACTGCTGTAAATGCACTGTCTTTTAAATAGGAATCAATCACAAAAATAGAACATATTCTCGACTTTTTAAAGCCTTAAGATTAATCTGTTAGCCCTTTTGGGTCCTTTTATAGACTGACCTAATTGACAGATTTCCCTATACCCTATTACCCTTTCATATACCTATAGCCTGAAAAAGGTACCCCTTTGGGCGGAGCCTCCCCGTATAGGCCATCACAGGGAGTACCGGGCCACAAAGAGGTAAAAATAACAGCCCTTCCAAGGCCAAGCTGTTAGTGCATGCAGGATTTGTATAGGTAAGATGTAAAGTGACGTAATGTTTTGTATCTTCACCTCTCCTTACGGTTTTCAACTGAAATACAAAAGCTTGAATACCCAATTAAAAAGTAATAACTTGGTTTTTGCCGGGGGGAAGGGGGGGGAGGTTGAGTGGTAAAACCATCCAACTGTGGATCTGGCAGTCTTGGCTGAAGCCTCGTTGTTATGTTGTTCTAAGTGCCTTTGCTCCACCTTGCTTTTCTTCACCCATACCCCAGTTGATCAAACGTTGTACCGCTATCTGCTGGATAAACGTCACTTCAATCAAGCATATGAGTATTTGGAAACTAATATCCATCTTTGAACAACTGCAAGGCGACAGGTAGTCTCAGAAATGACTGTCAAAGGGATGGCATACTCCACCTCGGATTGTCTCACAGGCCAGCCATATTCATTTACAATAAAATGGATTCTAATAACATATTGTTGTGGTGTTACTCCCTTCATCCAATGAACCAGCATCCAATCCAAGGGAAAGTAGCAATACTCTTAGCCACTTAATGTGACTGAAACAAGGTTCCAGTTGTGTGCGTCCCACTGGCTCACGTCCATCGTCAACTCACCCTTGACAAAAATGACCCGGCATTGATTTTCCCTATGGCAATAGATTGTGCCACCCCAAACTGGTTTCATCACCTCAAGTCCTGTATTTTGTCCTAAACAAGAAGTATCTAATAACACATGTCAGGAGTTTATGGTCCTATTGTAAGGAAAATAAAGATTACCACGGTATGCACATGATCTTAATTATGTATTCATGGCCAACAAATTAGGAGTTTAAATAATAATTAATTTTGTCAGAGGGAATTTCTACTTGGTAAATTCCACCAAAGAAAATTTTGGAATTTTCATCACGTAAACGGCCCCGTTAAAATTAGTTGGTAGCTGGCAATTTTACCACTTCCTGTGGAATATATTTCCACCTGCTCAACACTTAGGTTAATTTAAAAATATTAATGATGTTGAATATAAACCATGCATGTTTAGGCCAGCTTTGTTACTACTTGACAGGGATGGGGGAAATCCTCTTCCTTTTCCTCTAAAGTGCCTCACAGCTTTCCTCTTTATTTGCCTCAAAACTTGTTTTAGGCTATGTCAACATTAGGAAACATTTAAATATATTTTAAAACTTAAAACTATTTAATAATGATTAAAAAACAGGGGGACTAGTCATCTACTTCTACATATACTGGCACTTTTAAGATGTGTACAATTTTCAGTGCTAAGGCACTTTTTACTCCATTCCAAAATAGATCTAGAATATCCAGAAGGCATAAATAAGTCAACAACTGTGTATTGTAAATAGAGACTTGTGACTAGATTCAGCTGACAAAAGGTAATTTTTTTTACTTTCCACATATACAGTATAAGAATAGAATTTTATCTGTAATGGCTCAATTATTACTCCGGTAGTTACATACAATACAATAACTTATTTAACTTTATTGATTAACAATATTATTATTTTATTTTATAAAGATAGTTCAACTTGTAGTGGTGTACACTTGACCTTATGTGATAACGCTAATGTGTACCTGTATGATAACTGACATTCAAATATAAATAATGATAGAATGTGTACTACTTCTTTTAACCTGTGACTTAAACAAATACCCTATTTGTTTCTTTAACTGGCCCACAAGTTTTTAAGTTTTTTTTTTTGTCATAATTTTGCCAGTTTTGGTCTTTTTTCTATTTCCTTGTTATAGTTAATAATAATGTTTTCCTAAAGACACCTCCACACTATGGACACCTGACTATAATGGAAAATTCAGCTGGCTCTAAAGTTTCTTGTTGTCTTTACCTCAGTCCATAATTTTACAGGCTGTAAACAGGCCTTGTGGTTGGGATCAGGCAGGGGGTGAGGGAAAGTTTTTTCTTCCCATCTTTCCTTACATGTACCTGTGTGCCCTACCCCTGGGATGTAGCTAAGGAAAAGCTAAGCAGACTTTTTATTAGTCAACCTGGCTTTTAACTACACCTTCAAATATATGCCATTTACCTGTTTTCCAGAGCAATTTGAGCCAATGGTAAGGTCTTTTACAGCTGGTAAAATTAGCTGGCAGCTAGCTTGCTCTTAGTGATGTCCCTGCTACCCCTCGTTAGAGAATGTGTCCACAAGGACAGCTCCATGAGGTAGACTCTTTGGCTTAGTTACCAGCTGCTCATAGGTCCAATTTTCCTCTTAAAGAAGGGAGGAGAATAGGATGGGCTCATTTCCCAAAAATTGTAGCAGCTAGCCTTATCATAGAGCCTAGGAGACAATGGGGCCTTTCCTATTAGTGTCCATGCCACTTGGTGTGACTGCATTGTGTTCAACTTTTTTTCTCATAACACTCATTTGGCTCACTACATGTAATTTGATGTTATTGGTATTTTGTGGTTTCGGTACTCAACTGTGAGTTTTGAGCATGTTCATAGCCACGGTTTTTAAGTTTAATTTGTCCCTGAAGTCATCAATGTCAAAACGACAGCGCTCTTGAAAATCTTCCTTTAATTTCCCTAGCTCATTTGGTTGAAGCTCAGATTCTTGTTCAAATACATATACGAAGTATCTGTGAATGTTGGTCTTTCCTGGCTTGGGTTTAGGGGGAGAAGGTGGGTTGTAATCTACAAGATAAATAAAATTGGCCATATTAATTTCAGTACTTGTCAAAGTATTTGATATTACAGTCATATGGCTTTTGGAAAAGTTCATATGAGCATCTGATGACTACCTCCCATAAGCAACCATTTTTCCAAAACACCAAACTTTTTCAAGTCAAAGCCCTATAATATTATTTGAGCCTCTTGTCAATGACTACCTCTCATAAGCAACTGCAACCACCTTTTGGCCTGATGGTTTAACAGTTACCCATTGTTTTTAACCTTTTCTAAATGACCACTATGCACATGGTGTGCTTTCTTTGTTTGCTATATTATATACTAAGACACTATTACGAAGAACTTTCAAGGACAACACAGACTTCAGTGATTTTGTTACACATAGTTATGGTGAGTCCTGGGACTCATTTTGTGAAAAATCACGAGTCCTAGTCCAGAACCAGTAAGTCCCAGTTAAAAAAAAAAAGGGTCAGAAACTGAAAGTGCTTGGACCGTAACATGTATGTAACCAGACAGTTAATTTAAAGACAGATTCCAAAATTCTGTATTACAGCATACTGAAATATTAAAATATAGTCTGTCTATTTTAAAGCGCAAGAAAATCATGCAAGAATTGTGAAAACACATGTAAAATTCTGAAAATTTCATGTGTAAGATGTCAATATTTGTGAAATTTGACGTTTGTTTTCTTATTTTTTTTGGTGTTATTACAGATAACTAATTACATCCATAGCCCCGGCTTGAAAACTGTAAAAAAGGATATTTATTTATTTAGGATATTTATCAGCTTTTCTGGACACAGGCCTGCCCAGAGGGAATGTACACAAATGGGACTCAGGTCCCATGCATGCCATCCCTACCCAATCCCACAACCCGTAAAGGTTGGCCACACCACCGGGGTCTACAACCTATCTCTTTTCGAATAGTGATGTGGGTTCTTTTATGTCCCACAAGAACAAATCAATGAAAGCGCTGTGAGATGGGACCTACGGTTTTTTGTCCTTATCCGAGAAGACTAGAAAGTCTATAACCATTTGCAGATGTCATTACAAAGGCAACACTTTTCTTTAAACACCCTGAGTGTTGGTCCGGCCGGGGTTTGAACCTGCAACCTCCCGCTCGGCAGACCAGCCCTCTCCCAACTGAGCTAAAAGAATGTAATATTGTTTAAATTATTCAGGAACAAGGTTTTTGTCCACTGAAAATTAAAATTACTCAATTTCCTGATGGATTCTGTCTTAGTGCTTAAAAACGATCTTAAATCATCACTGTGCAAAATAATTTTGGTGGAACATTGGCCTACCTGTAATAGTGTCCACAGGAGGATATGTGTTAACTCCTTTGGCCAGGTCCTCACCCTGTATTAAAATCACACCAACAACATCAAATAAAAAAAAAATGCCCTAAACATTCTTTTCAAAAAAGAAAGGAAAACACTAACAAGGTTTTCCACTGTAGTCTCAAAGGAACCAACAAATGCAGATGTAAGTTTCTATTTTTTGCTTTTAAACCTCCCTTTTGAAAATTGGAAATACAGTGGGAAATACAAGGTTTATCGATGCATTTGCAAGCAACCTCAAGTGGGGCTTTGTCACTGACAAAGACTGGTTTAAGTTTTTGGAAGGAGCATAAAAGACAGTTACTTAAATTTTGACACTAACATTTCAACTTGCTAGGCAAATGCTTAATAGTATACTCAGCTGCAGGGAATTGAAAGTCTTGGAATATTTTCTAAGAAAGTAACCAAGGGTCATCCTCATAGAGAGTAATTCCCTAGCCCCCCTCTCTAAGTAACAGCCCTTATGCTTAACCTTGTTTGTTTTTTTAACTACTACAATCTAATTTTTAAACAACAATGTTCAAAATTTATTTACAAATGTTTTATTGAAGATGCTGTTAAAGAAGAGTACAGGATGCTTGAAATAACCAAAAGGGGGCTAGAAGAAGGGCTTTTAGGAGTTATAATTAGCGATGATCTTAAATGGAATGCTCACGTTGAATATGTAATTGCCAAGGCAGCTAAGAGATTGTACGCTCTTAGGTTGTTGAAACGTGCAGGAGTCATGCCAGAAGACATGCTCAACGCATACACATATAATATCAGATCGGTCTTAGAGTATGCTGCGCAAGCATGGCAAGATATTCCTGCATACCTTTCTGATGCTATTGAATCTATACAAAAAAGAGCCTTAAGAATAATATTTCTAAACTTAAGTTATCAACAAGCTCTAGACTAAGCAAATTTGACATCGTTAACAGATTGCAGGATATTCATATGTAAGAAGTTGATGGTGGAGATGAGGAATGAGAGCCACCCCATATCTTTCTTAGCTCCGCATTAGTTAAAACAAGATCTATCCCATATCAGTTAAGATCAGGAAATACTAAAACCACTTCAACAATGAAAAGGACAAAGAGAGCAAATGACTTGTTTACTTTTTTAAGTTTTCTTGATTCCAATTGTTGTGATATTTATTACTGTAAATAGACTTAATTATTAGTATCCAATTGTAAATTGCACTGTTTAGTCAGTTTTTAACAGCCGGAAGTGTTAATAAACTATTAGTACTATTATTATAAGATCGGGCAGCTGTAATTTGGAGATCAATAAATAATAGAGCCCGTTTACATTTGAGGGTACGGGTACCGTAGTTGTACATATGGTTTAAATAGTCTCCCTGAGGGGAAATCGCATTCAAGCTATCGGAGAGAATGGTGATGCCATTATCACATCTGGGAAATCATGGTTGATTGACTCATAACTGGTTGATGGTAAAGGGTTTATTATTCAAAACAACAAAGGAAACATTTTTGCCTACATGTACCCGTAGGTCACTAATATACGTTGAATGAATATTACTCAGAACCAATTAGTACAAAATAATAAATACAAAGAGATGGTTCTTAGACAATATCTTGACAATACAAAAATTATTCACAAAGAAAGGAAAATTTGTAGTAATATCTCTTACATCAATGTTGACAACAATCCAATGAAGCCAGCTCTGACAGCCTGGGTTGTCTGCATAAGGTGCATCAGGATCCACCATTGCAACAAGGTATTTTTTGCCCTTTACCTTAAATGAATAAACCTAGAATGTAAGTTTGCCAGGACTTTTGAAGGAGGCAATCCTACCTTCCCTAACTTGGTAACATACTTCAGTAGTTTCAAATAAAACAACATGGCTAGAAAAAAAGTACACAAATGTGAACTACAGTGAAACCTCTATTAAGTGGACATGGACACTAAAATAACTTGTATTTGGCTAATTTCTAAAGTTAAAAACCTCTATTAAGTGGACACCAGCCTGATCTGACCTTGTATTACGTCCTTGAAATATGTACTGTAGTTGATAAATCAATACATTTAGCTGTCAGTAAACTGTAGATTAGACCAATATCCTGCTGTATGATTGTCATCTGCGATCAAAGTTCACCTATAAGTCTTGCCCAAAGTACAGCACAGCTTCCTTACCTTCCTTAACAACATGGTATTTTATCACAGTACAGAGTAACCACTGAATGTCAACTGTTAACAAACATTGCACAATTTTTCCAGTCCACTATTAAGGGGACACCCTCTATTAAGCAGACACTTGGGACAGTCCTGAAGGTGTCCGCTTAATAGAGGTTTCACTGTATTAACATTGTTATGCTTCCTTTTTTTTTATAATATTTTCATGTCAAAAAAAGTAAAGGGTTGGGAGAAAAACTAATGCCTTCTGGAATGGCAAAACACAATCTCAAAGAATTTAACATGAAAAGATTTCGTTCAATCCATAATTCTGGGAAAAAAGCCAGCATGATAACAATTTACAGGCTTTTTTCTTGGAAACAAAAATATATCTTCTCACTTCTGTCAGATTGTGCTCTTCCACTGTACAAAGAGCTAACCTGTGATCAGGCAGTCCTTCTTCCGTTTTGTTTGGGAGACAAGTGGAAGGGGACTGCCCGATATATTAACTTTACGCGTCGTCTGCCTGTAATCCAGAATCTGGACTTTTGTCTGACTGGTTGAAAAACAAAAGATACTTTGGAGTCCTGTCACGGATGTTACAAGCAACTTCCGGTGCAATTAGATACGTCCTGACCTTTATCTCTCAGGAATGTCATTAAGGGCAGGGGGTTGGGGATTTCACCCAGCTACTATGAGCATGAACCCCAGCTATTTTCTTAGGAAACAAAAGAAAGATGAGACCAAAAGAACTACCTGGCTGTTCAGTTCCTCCTCCTACTGTAACATATATAAACTTATAGTAATTTCTCTTCAAAACTCCCATCAACATAATTATACTTTAATACTAGCATAATTACTTATTCTCTGAAATTTTGTGACTTTTTTAAACACCATACTGCTTCTATTTGATTGTAATGCGTGTTTGCCTACGTCCCACCTGGAAACCAGCTATTCGGACTCCACTAACACGAGATATTCAAATGTAAAAACCTTCATTTAGGATGTGTCAGTCAGTCATCTGATGCAGATGTTAAAGCAATGATATCCTTCTAACAAAATACTAAATATATATGTTCTAAGCTAGAACTTGTGCCATGCCAGATATGAAAAACCACTAAAAAACCACCCTTGAAGTGGCCAGAAAATGTGTGGGAACGTATTCCTCTACTAATGCAGTGGTATGTAAAACCCCAGGAAAAGGGATCAAGAAAAATACATTACAATGTTACATAGACTACTCCAAAATTATACTAATGGAAAAGGGTGCGAGTCTAAATACCTAAATTCATAAACTATATACCGAAATAAGAAACGTTATTCCAAAACACACAGATCTGAAGATGTAACAAAATAAAATATAGAAAAACAAAACAAAAACTATCAGAACGACTGAGCTAATGTAGAATGGCACAAGTCACCTGCTAAAACCATAAATAGTCTGATACTATCCCAGGAACACCAGCATGCCTCTATACTGTGCCGTCAGAATATCAATTTCTGACTAATTCGTTTCCACGTCTCTCAATCGTAAGAAATTACATTTTTTATTGTGTGGTTAGCATTGTAAAATAAATGTGTTGATTGATTGATTGATTGATACCAGGCAACTTGAAATCTTAGTGACAGCCCTGATCTCTTCATGTCAAAAGCCACAAGATGGTTGAGGAATTCAATTAGCAGTAAGCTTAGGTTAAGCTTGGTCTTAAAACAATACGTTTTTAGTAAATCAAGTCAACAATGCAAAGAGAAAAACCTTGAAAACTGATGAGGAAGAGCTGTTTGAATATAGGTACCACATGGCAACGATAAGGCAAGATTTGCACTAACAGCAGTGCTAAATCAGTCTTTAAAATCTGTGATGTTTTCGTTAGCGACTACCGTATCAACTTGGCATTCACCACTTGCCTGGAAAGCAGGTATATATATTAGCCACCTTTGTTGCCAACCGCTTGAATTTCCTGTAGAATCTGACATGACAAAACAAACGATGACAGATGCCTTAATTAGGGGGCAGCAGACAACTCGTGAAGTAAATGTATCAGGTGTTCTTTTTTCCCCTTTTACCAAAAAAAGTACCTGGGGTCAATTTAATTAAACTTGTCATTGTTTTAGGGTTCACAAACAATAGCTACACTTGTGAAAGTTTTATTAAATTGACCCCAGATTGCACATGAAAAAAAGAGCGTGCATCCTAGGAGGGCTAGATACACTGAAAAAGTGAGAAGACCAAAAAAAGACAAACCATCCACCTATTTCCTTGGCCTTTCTTTTTTATAACCAGTTTTATCACCCACATTATTATGTTTCTTTCCCATGGAATTGTGGCTGGCTATCTTTCCAGGAAAGGGCTAAATTCTCAACACATCCTGATAATAGTGAAGATTTGATGGATGTTTATCAAATGTATGATAAAGTTTTATCCACAGCCTCATTTCCATCCTGGGTGTAAAATGCCCATTAGGTTGCAATAGTGGCAACATCATTTTTCTTGTCCTTTTATCTCCCCGAAGTACAACTATTGTAGGCTACTGGCTCGTCTTCTTCAAAATCTGCCCACAAAACTCGATATTTTATCATATGCTCCTGGCCCCAGTTGGATAAATCACTATCCAGAGGATAACGCCATTGGTTTTTGTAATACTTACAATGTATCCACTGGATAGTGATTTAACTGGTGGATAGCACTAACCAATGTTTGAACAACCTGAGCCAGGACCATATCTTTTCTGGTGTTTCATTTCTTTGGTTTAAAAGTAGTAGGTCAGCTTCACAAGTTAATACGAACTAACCTAGCTATTCTTTAACCCAAGAAAGCGCTTGAGACATCAAAGTCCTTGCTTTTGTATTAACCAAAACAATTTCTCAATGATTATCTTTAAAGAAGCATACTACATTTACAGCACATGTGTTGTCTCATTGATCACATTAATATGAGGCTATCCAAAAAGGAGTTTTAGCTTGAAAGGAAACTGCCTATCTTAGTTATTTATCAATAGAGAAGTGACCTGCACTTGTGACCTGTGACTTGTAACCAGTGTTTTGTACCTGCCACTCAGGTATACTGTGAACATAACCTTAAAACCCTTACTATTGCTATCCATTTCCAATCGCGTATCGTAAAATAGCTATTTGGTTTTTAAACCAATACAGGTTGTTCTCTGCAAATATTCTTCTTACATTAAGTACTTAGGTTGGTTAATATTTCAATTTTATTCTTTGTAAATATTCTCCTTATATTAAGTAGTTAGTTTGGTGGTATTTTAATTAGTGTCCCCTATTTGTAGGTCTTACCAGGCTAGCTAGAAAACCAGACACATTTAAATAAAGTTCATCATCATCATCACATATAAAAAGTACTACTTACTGCATCTGTGAAAGTTACTGACGGCGGCTGCTTCTCGTTCACATCCTTCAACGGTACATCTGCACCACAATTTGACTGGGAGAGGAAATATTTTCCACCAAATTTAACATTCACGTTCTCGTAGTCACCGTAAGCACATTTTTCTTCAATCAGAGAAGAGCTCTTGTCATAATCCAAGCTGTGAATTGGTGAAAGACACAAGATAAACAGAAGTTTAAACAGCATTTGACTACGGCCACGTATTGACGAACAACCGACCGCCATGTTGGGATTAATGTCACGTGACATAACAAGGGCACACCAACCTAACACCAACCTAACACCAACCTATCACCAGTAGGCACAGGGCTACCAAAGGGAAAAATTTTGGCGGTAGTGAGACTGCTCTAGGGTCTTTGACGCTTCCAAATGTGTATTGCTAATATTGCTAAGTGTCTTTAATCTAAAAAAGACGATTTGCCTGAAAATTTGGGCATAACACTGATAACAACTGTCCAATACGGAGCCCAGTTAGTGTCACCATGTTTCTTTTTCACGACCCCTGACGACGTCAGTTTTCTCTGGCACACCTTTTTTTTTTCGGCACGACCGTTTTTTTGGCACGCCTTTTTTTTTTCGGCACGACTATTTTTTCCGGCACGACTGTTTTTTTCGGCAAGACTTTTTTTTTGGCACAATTTTTTTTTTCGGCACGAGCAGGACCCGGGGGGGATACTCCCATACATTACCTATACGGGTATGTGCCGCCCAACGGGTTCGTGATTTTGAAGCTCCTGATTTAGAAAGGGGTACCCACTTCAGAGGCGTTTTCTGAAACGGGGTATAATATTTCGAACGCACGAAAGCTTCAGTTTTGTAAGCAGCCATTTGTAATTATTCAAGGACAGGTTGCCTAAAAATACGGTTCAATGCGTTAACAAGCAAACTGTTGTACTCTTTGCACCCTAGAACGGAGTATAAAAAATTGGCCCATTTGTAGAACGGGGTATCAGTTTTAGGGCGAATTCCAGAACGGGGTATCAATTTTAGGGGAAAGTTTTTTAGAACGGGGTGCCAATTTGGAGTCCCGGGCGGCACATACCCACCCAAAAAATACCCAAGTGTCCCCCCCGGGGACCAGGACAGGTGACCGCTGACCAATATTATTGTAGTGGCATGGTCGTCGCAACGGTAGTGCAGATTCTTGGCACTAGATTACCTTGCTTGTTTTTACTGAACACGTCGCGCCATCCGCGCCATGCGCAATTCGTAACGTCAGCATCATGACCTCATTAGTCAGATTTCCGATCTTCTGCTTACGTGGAATTAATGACCGTTGCGTGTTTTCGTTGCTTTTCTTGTCTGTTTTAGCTTAAAAAAGACTTTCTTTATGGCCTAAGTAGTATAGGGCGCACCGGTTAGGCCGTTTTTTTGCGGAGGATTCTCATTAGAGTGCGGAGGAATACATTAACGCCAATGACGTCATAACCTTTTGTCTTGATCTCATGAATAAAATGCGCAGGAATCTCATTAACTTGCGGTGGAATCTCATTAAGTATATCCAGTTTGACGGGTTTATCAATGATGTCATGTTCTATTTTTATCTTGTGGCGGTCATGGTTGGTATAACCGGTTTGACAGGATTTAGTTATTTTCGGAAGATGATGTCATATGTATTCCGGGGTACTATGATGTCATAGTTGTTTTGAATACTTCAATAGGAACAATAGGCTTGCTTAGACTTGCCCGCGATCTTTTAACCCTGATTGGATAGTAAACAATCTATTATGTGTTCAACATAAAAGCGCGCTCTCCGTTCAGCATATTACTCTTGCAATCGCTGTGCTAAGGAAACAAGTCCGCTTGCCTAACTAAAAATTCGGTTATAAACAAAACTCAGACGCAAAAAATGGAGCTCAAACTCTTTATTTCAATCTATTGCAAACAGTGCTCTCTCTATAAAATTACTTTATCTTGATGTCTTGTTACACGCTCTGTTAACCAGTAGTAATTTGCATCTGACTCATGCCTCTTTTGTGTTCTCGCAAATTAAACAATCACGCTTAAGTCCTCTAACAAAAACATAAGGTACCGTTTCATACACAATTGTTAGGTCTATTGAAAAATAAAATATTCCACTGCAAAGTGCATCGACAACCGTTTAATTAATTTGTTATTGGTCTATCGAGCATTCGTTTGGTTCTTTTCTAGGATTAAGTCATCAATAAAACACACTTAAAGTTTGGTTGTTTACAGTTTTTATTGAAGTGCAACAATACAAAGATCCAGGAAATAAAAAATTCTGTAACATTCATAGTAATGTCTAGTCTTCATCTTGTGGAATGGGCTGCTTTTCGTACAATCGATTGAGTAAGAATTTTCGCTTATCGATCGCTAGTTCTGTCGATTCCAACCAATCAAATCCTTCTGTGTCTTTAAGCTCTTTTTGAGTTTCCATCACTTTTTTGAAGGTGGGGTCTTTTTTCATTGCACGCATCCACTGTAGATTCTCTAAGAGTACTTTTCTTAGCTCTTTTCTGTAAACAGGAAGAAGAGCGTTCTCGGCTTACACGCGGGCCACATTTTCTGAATCTCCGTCCCCTTCGTACTCATTGATCAATGCGTTGAGCTGGGTCTCATGGCGTTTCTCGGCTTCATCAAGAATGCGTGACCAAGGCTCTAAGTTTTCCGTTTCTTCCTCTTGGGAAGACTCCGTTCCTTGGCTAGAGACTTCGCTTTCTTGGGAGAAATCGCTTTCTTCGCTGTCTTCATATTTTCCAGCACCTTGTTGAAGGTATAAGGTATAGCCTGTGCTCGTCATCTTTGGTTAGAGCCGCACGCGTTCTGATAGGAAACTAAACTTCAGAGAGCAACGCGCCTCTTTTATAGAAAATTGGTGAAGGCGGGGCTACTAAGCGTTCCCCTTCGTAAATAATAATCGATCTTACATCGACCCCTCATCGACCCCACATCGATCCCACATCGATCCTACATCGAGCCCACATCGACCCCAAATCGACCTCACATCGACCCTACATCGACCCCACATCGACCCCACATCGACCCCACATCGACCCTACATCGACCCCACATCGACCCCACATCGACCCTACATCGACCCCACATCGACCCCACATCGACCCCACATCGACCCTACATCGACCCCGCATCGACCCCGCATCGACCCCACATCGATCTAATATTACACCACGATTGACAAGAATTGGATTAGAACTAATGATGACTCATCAAATTTGATTAGCGAAGCTATATAAACAGGAAAATAACTTATTTCCTTCAGTATGTTGGAGGTTCTCGTGTGGTAAAGATGCCGTATAAATTCAAGAGAGATTGCCCGGTATGTGGTAAGCCAGAGTTACTCTCTTTGAGTGATCACCTGCGTCAAGTGCATCGATTAAAGAGCCACGAGAGAAAGCAATGGCTAAAAGCAGCAGTATTTTCGGGATCTAAGAAAAGTCTGGGTATAACACAAGGAGTGTCTTGACGTTTTACACAATTATTGCACACAGAAAAGGAAAGAAGAAGAGAACGAAAACGAACTATTGCAGCTGTCAAAGAACCGGAAAAACCTCAGCATTGTATAGTCAAGAGGCCCAAATTCACTGACGATGTTTCCCTGGAAACCAAGGCATATCCAGAATTTATGTTTCGACATAAATTTTCACTTCTCGTGGTGGGCCCCACTCAGTGTGGTAAAACACTTTTTGTTGAAAAAATTCTCACAACGGATCGTATTCTTTACGAGAGCAAGAAACCGAGGCGAATATGGTGGTACTACAGTCAGTGGCAGGATACCTACAAAGTGATGCAGTCATCTATCGGAAAGCAAATTCAGTTTTTTCGTGGCCTTCCAGAGTTTAAAGAAGATCTTCGGGAAATTGACCCAAAGTTTAACAATGTACTGGTGTTTGATGATCTTATGGCCCAAGCAACAGATAGTCCTCTCGTTTCCCTTCTGTTTACCCAAGGCCGGCATAGAAATGCTAGTGTGATACTGCTGCTACAAAATATGTTTCCAAAGGGAAAATTTCTGAAATTTAACACGGACATCAGCCGGAATGCTCAGTACATGGCTCTTTTCCGAAGTCCTAGCGATCGAAAACAAATCGGTATCATTGCAGAACGAATGTTTGACAAAAATCACCCGCGATTCATGTCAGCTTATTTTCAAGAAACGGAAAGAGCGTTTGGTTATATCTTCGTTGACAATCGCCCAGACACGCCGAGTGATAAGCAAGTATTGAGTGACATTTTCGGCTCTTGTCGTCGATATCCGACTATTAACAGCTCCGCAAAATCGGTCGAAACCGTCAAAACGACCAGTTACAAGGAAAACATTGCCTGCGAAGCTAGATCAGCAGTAACATCGCCTCCTGTAGTCAAATCTTCCCCGCCAATTGTAAAAAGGTCACGGCCATTTCCTTTTGATACAGTCTGGTCTGAAGCAGCCTATCCCGTTGTGCAAAATTATATGCAAGGAGCGCCCCGATGCCAAACCCTACCAAAAGACTTTGGGATCACGGAAATGTACCGCATTGCTAGACATCTTTATGATCCGTATCTTCCATCGTACTCGTATGGAAATTACTGGCCGGTGAAAATAAGACACTATTGCAATGGAAAATCGAAATGGATTTATTTACACAAGGACGATCCCAGCGTAAGATCTTTCCTAGAAAAGAACCAAACGAATGCTCGATAGACCGATAACAAATTAATTAAACGGTTGTCGATGCACTTTGCAGTGGAATATTTTATTTTTCAATAGACCTAACAATTGTGTATGAAACGGTACCTTATGTTTTTGTTAGAGGACTTAAGCGTGATTGTTTAATTTGCGAGAACACAAAAGAGGCATGAGTCAGATGCAAATTACTACTGGTTAACAGAGCGTGTAACAAGACATCAAGATAAAGTAATTTTATAGAGAGAGCACTGTTTGCAATAGATTGAAATAAAGAGTTTGAGCTCCATTTTTTGCGTCTGAGTTTTGTTTATAACCGAATTTTTAGTTAGGCAAGCGGACTTGTTTCCTTAGCACAGCGATTGCAAGAGTAATATGCTGAACGGAGAGCGCGCTTTTATGTTGAACACATAATAGATTGTTTACTATCCAATCAGGGTTAAAAGATCGCGGGCAAGTCTAAGCAAGCCTATTGTTCCTATTGAAGTATTCAAAACAACTATGACATCATAGTACCCCGGAATACATATGACATCATCTTCCGAAAATAACTAAATCCTGTCAAACCGGTTATACCAACCATGACCGCCACAAGATAAAAATAGAACATGACATCATTGATAAACCCGTCAAACTGGATATACTTAATGAGATTCCACCGCAAGTTAATGAGATTCCTGCGCATTTTATTCATGAGATCAAGACAAAAGGTTATGACGTCATTGGCGTTAATGTATTCCTCCGCACTCTAATGAGAATCCTCCGCAAAAAAAACGGCCTAACCGGTGCGCCCTATACTACTGGCCTATAGAGATAATCATTGTTCTCTTATGGTTAAAGGAATGTAAGACCTCATGAATATACTCGCCACGAGTCCCCATATACGTTGGTCTGTTTTATCATTATTTTCTGTTTCGGTTGCCCGGTAACAGATAAGTGTAGTAACCCTGGCTCAAGACTGTATCGCTAGCTCTCTTTCTTTCCTAAATTTGGCTTTTTTTCTTTAAAACGTAAAAAATTAATACGAGTTTTACCGGAATCGTTGTGGGTATATTCGTGAGGTCCTTTGGGCATATTTTCTCTTGTGGCCGTTTGTGTATCTTGACAACATTTTATAAGCAATAGTTTTTTATGAAGACGTTGCTTGTATGTCTTCTGTTACAAGGCCAATGATTTAAAATTATTAAAGAAAAGCAGTTATTCCTCTGGCGTTGAAAAAACCGAACTAAAGCGATAATTGTGGTCAATAAGAACAGATAAAATAAGAAAATTAACCAATCAGATGTTGAAGCGCGAGTAAGTCAAAGTGGTTCAGGAAGTAAACCAATCACAGAGCGCAGTAAACCCAAAGTGGACGCAGTTATTGTAAACTCAGTTTTAATCCGCTTTATTTGTTGAAAATTATTTCAAGTTAGTCAGAATAACTTGACTGAGGACTCTTTTCTCTTCGATATTTGAGCGGGAAGATTATTTTTTTACAGTCCGAGATGTGCATATTTCCATAAAAAAGAAAATATTGTTCCAGTTCATGTATAAAAGTATTAACGTAATACACTTCTTGATATTATAAATTCAGTTGAAGTTAACCCCAGGTTTGGTTTGATTAAGGAGGATGTACCGTTGTCTTACGTGGAAATCGAAAGTGAAGCTTTGTTGCTTCAACCATTTTCTCAGTTTAAGTTGTTGAACTTGTAGACAGTAAAATGTTATTAAAGCTTTTCCAGTTTGATTTAGAACTTGAATTTTCTAGGATAGGATAGGATAAATCGTTTATTGTATAAATACTTTGCAGTCGTAAAACTGAAATGCGTATTTTACAAATAACATTAGTTAAAATATAAAACTAATTACAATCATGTGAATATAAATACCTTGGGTAGTAAAGCTAAAAATATGTATAAAAATCTTACAATAAAGTCGACTTCTTTGAAACTTTAACGAAGAGCTTTATTCGCAAACCTGGGACATAGCATAAACAAAAGAGCGTCTGAAACGTTCCGTATGGGAACGTGGCAAATTATATAACTTTTGACGCCTTAAATTATAGCTGGATTGTTTTCTTGGTGGCTACAGGTGGTATAACTTATGTCCGGAATTGATAGCAGTGGAATCGAACAATTGTCTACATAGTCTGTTGCGTCTATCAAATAGCGTTGGCAGGTCTAAGCTGTCAAGGAATTCCCGATATGACATGGCAGGTGAAATTATGAAAAGCGCTCTTTTCTGAATTCTTTCTATATCCTCAGTAAGACAAGCCGGGAGTGCGTGATGGAAAACGGGAGCGCAGTATTCTAATTCGCGAAAGTGTAGTTTGACATATCTTTAGGTACAGCTAGGTACAATATTATGTGTTCATAATTTTCTTAACAAATAAAAAAAGAGTACTGGCGAAACGAAAAAATCGTGTACGACCCATGTCCAGGTCACCACAGTTTGAGAGAAAAATTAGGTGGCACTATTAAACTGGGCTCCGTAGTAATCTAGTTAAGTTAATTATCTTTGGATCGCGTTTGTTATTACATTTATATCGTGCATGATAAAGTTTTCTCACCTTATTAACATAGCGATGGAGCTTTGAAGTCTTCGGTATGTCAATCATTGAAATCTTTTTGAAGACAAATTTTGATAAGTGTTCGTTTTGATTCTCGATAAATTTCACGATGGAAGGTTCACTCAATTTCTCGATAAGTTTCACGATGGAAGGTTCATTCTCAGAAGTGATCGCTCGTAAATTTGTCTCTCCAAATATTCACTCTTAAATTTTCGCTCATAAACTAGTTGGGTTGGGGGAACGTGTCTTTCCCCAAAAAAGCTATAATCTTTCTCTTGACTGTCCTCCATGCCTCTTCTTTTCAAAATGGCGGATAAGATTTCAATGAGCCAGCGATATATCTCAGTCAGCGATATATCCCTAACAATGTAACGTTGAAAAAACGGACGGTCTGCATTTTAAGACCGGTGCCCGCCTTCGGCTGGGCCCCGGTAAAAAGTCAAACCTGAAGAAATCCTATGTAAACAATGTGTTTCAAAAGAAACCTATCGAACACTTATGTGCTCCGCATGTATACAAGTCATTATAATTGAATTGTGTTTTGCCACCGACTAGTTCAACATAA